AGCGACTCGACTACCTGATAAGCCTGTGTTTTAGGGTAGTCAGCTAGTCGCTTGCAGCCCTAGCTTAGAATACAGATCTCAGCACAGCCTAAAGCTTTGTCTACATGTAACAGTTTAAAGCCCAGCTGCGGCAGTGCTTTAGATTGAAAATATGGCCACAGCAGGAGAGAATTCTCCCAAGGCTCTACATACGCCACTCTGGGAGAAGTGTAGCTAACAACGCTGGGAGTGTGGCTACCAGTACTATAGCTTGGTTCACACGGGCGCTTCACAGTGTTGTAAATGTACTAGGTTAGGGGTGTGCGTGTGTTTTTACACTCTTGAGCCAGACTACAGTACTGCAAAGTGCCAGTGTCCTAAGCCAGGGGTGGGGAACGTTTTCTGGATTAGAGGCTGCTGACCTATAGAAAAATCAGTCAGAGGCCGTACACAAGTGAGAAGTCCCTCCTCCTCCCCAAAAAAAGATCCTTGCTGACATGGCCCCCAATTGAAAAGGAGAAAGACAGTTCCCACATTCCCTTCACACACCAGGGCCTAGGCTAGTAGAATTTGTGTGCCCCAGCCCCGCGGGAGGGCATCAGGGGGGCTTGAAGCAACAGTTCTGGGGGAGAGCTCTGAGCCATTGGGGCTGGATCCATGTGAGTTGGGAACCACATCTGGCCCCGGGCCTTAGGTTCACCACCCCTGGCCTACACCATGGCATTACCCTGTGATAGAGCAGCAGAGGGGCTCAGCACTTTTATAGATAAGTATGTAGATAAGCAGGGCTCGCCAGCTGCGTGGTTCGGCATCCTGCACGTGCGCAGACCGCGCTGCGCGGCTGTGCCAGCTTGTTATCTACTCGCCACGGGTGAGTAGATTATACTAATTGTCGAGCCCTGTAGATAAGTATCGGAGGGGTAGCCCTGTTAGTCCGAATCTGCATAAATAACGAGGAGTCCTGTGGCACCTTATAGACTAACAGATTTATTGGCACATAAGCTTTCGTGGGCAAAGACCCACTTTGTCAGATGCAAAGGGTGGATGCAATTCATTCTAGAGCACCGCACAATGTGTGGAGAGCGAAGACTTGGTCGTTCAGCAGAGTGATCAAGGAGAAGATTTGGGAGAGATGCCATTGAAAGCAGCTGCTCAGTGTATAGTAGCAGCCAAGAAACCTGGGGCAAGTTTCCTCGCTGGTGTGAATCAGAGTAAAGGCTGGCTTAGGGATTTTGTCCTCAGGTGACTTGTTCTGCATAAGGCACATGTACAGTCTATGCCATCAAGTGCCAGCAGTGCCCCACTGCGATATCTATTGGACAAACTGGACAGTCCCCATGGGAAGAATTAATGGACACAAATCAGACATCCGCAAAGGGAACATACAAAAACCTGCTGGAGAACACTTTAATCTCCCTGGCCATACATTAACAGATCTTCAAGTAGCTGTTTTGTTACAAACCAATTCCACAAGCCAAATACACAGGGAAGGGCTGGAACTACAACTCATTCATAAGTTCTATTCTCACACCCATGGGCTGACTAAAGATACTGGATGGCTGGGTCATTATCAACCTATCAAATAATGAAGGCAACAATGGTTCTTTGTCTATGTAGCATCTCATGATACCATCTACATGTTTTGGCAGTCTTTAAGTGCTACCTGACCATTTGTTGTTTGCTAATTAATGGTTCTTTTCTGCCTCTTTTTTGACTTTCCAGTCTTTAGGTACTTAGAAACTATTTGTTTTTCCTATT